TGGTAAAGTGCATACATTGCAGCCTAATCAATTTTAGCTCTTATGTTAACAAGTAGTCACTTAATCATAGTATGTTCAGAAGTGAAGACCATCAGATTCGTCATGATATTTGTGTTTTCTTGCAATCACCTGCAATTTTCGGCTGTCTCTTTGCGACTTTAATGCTTCTCAATGTGGCATTGGATCGATTACTTTCGCTACAGAAATTCTAGTACGCTTTTTTCATGTTTCTCAAACGTTTATGAGTGCACTAAGGGTTCACCACTTATTGATGAAAGTTTCAGCATCACCATAGAAAACGCGCATCGAAAATGCTACATGGGTGCAGGCATTCTGTTGGCGGTACTTTATGGCGTAGCCTCGATTACCTGGATATTTCTTATGCGAACTTCAGAGTGTGTTTTATGTTAAAAAAAATACGAAGCTTTCTTGTGATGTTATTGAGCTTCACTTTTTTATGGGATATTATCAAAAATCTTGTAGAGTTCTTTCTTAATTATCTAGTATACATGACTCTGCATCACATATTGTGCGTATCTAACACCCTTTCTAACTGATTGTTTCGTTCTATCCATTAAAAACGAGCTATCGCCTAAATGGTTGTAGCTTACCGTGATCCAGTTGAGTTTACTATATCTCGATTCGTAGTTTAGCTGTGCTGGAACGTTCTTAAAACAGTAATACACGCGAATTTCGTTTTCGGACTAGGTGGCGACAACTGGCAACAGATTAATCTGACACTAAATTGCCAACTAAATGGGGCTAAAGCCCAGGTTGTCCATACTGAATAGCAACACTATCACTACACCATCCTTTACATTTTCAAAGAGGGGTCGACATTGCGCTGATGGTTTATCTTAAAGGAAATTTTTTTCCACCGATAATCTTTCTATGGAACTCTCCAGGACAAGATAAACCTTTTTGTTCTCCAGAAACCTACTTTGTCTTAAGAATGTGGGGACACTCAATGATTTTCTTTGTTATGAGATTGTGGGAATGGTCATTAGGTGAACAATTTTGCAAAGAAGCGCCTTGAATCTCTCAAAAGACAACCATTTTGAGGTGTTTTGACATATCTATTAACGAATTAAATCCACATTATATGCTTCTCGGCTCTGATCTATAGGACAACTTATACCTCCTTGAATTAAAGCCGTTCGAAGGTGCTCATCTGCCTTGCACTTGTGCATCGATTAGACAAAAGACTAGAAAAGAGGGTTTGACATCAGTAAGCATGGTCTCTATTCCACAATAGTGCGGCGAGATGTCTCTGATACTGGTCGATCTGAGTTGACATGGAATTTCTAGTAGGTACTGAAAGATGAAATCATAGGAGGAGAACTTCATGAGAAACAGCTCAATCATTTAACCACTAATTGCATAAGTACTGGTGTTCTTTCACATTTGATAGGCTGAATGAACATGAAACCTCCATAGATGAAAATTTCTTCGTTCAAAACAATCACTAATGGCAATTATGGTTGGGGGACAAATTGATAAATGTATTTTCCCAGTACAATATAAATGAGATTTGATTTTTAGACAGGCCATCTGCTTCATCACAACTCCGCTGACCGGCATGATCTACGTCGTAGTCGTAAATTCTATGATGGGCATAAACATCTTGATAATTGCTTGTTATATTTCGCTTTTCTTTTTTTTGAAAAAAGTCAAAATGAGTGAGTTATTTTGGAGTGTGGCAAGATCGCCTTTTTTGAGTGTTTCGTGTGAGTAACAAAAATTGTATTAAGACTTCAACAATAGCACCATTCCAGGCAGCACAAATATGAAGCAGATTTACCTATCGCTGACAATTGTCAGCTTAACAACGGTGTTTGGTTGGTTCAGTACGACTTTTATTTCATTCATCAACATCCTTTTTCAAATTGATATGGCGCGAATGTATGTCGACATGTTGGCCGGACTTTTCGTGAATTTTGCATGTTCGATCAATTTCTTCGTTTATTATGCGTTGAGGTAAGTAGACCTGTTTAACAGTTGACGTCATCAAAGCTCCTCTATGGTAATGTTTGATTAGTACCGCTTTCTCAACGGCTATAGTCATTACCACTGCATCACCCGCATTAGCGGATGTTGTGAACTTGTCAAACAATTGTAATGAAGGAAGTAGAGATAAGAAAATTTGAAAATGGCTCATATCATTGAACGGTGTAATGAATCCGCATTGAGATGATAGCCGTTGACCGATTATGATGCTCTTTGATATGCGCAAGGATTCCAGAGATTAGGAACTACAACAAACGGTGTAATTTTATTCGTCAGAACGCGAAGATTATGAGGGATATCATCCTCCCCACTCCTGCTCCTCACTTTGTATCTGGACATTCCGTTTGTCCTTTTCTTACGCATAAACTAAAACGATTATCCTGTTCTCTGCTTCACTGAAAGAAAAAAGGCTGAACTGATAATAACTTTTCAACGTAATGATGACGAAATTAAGTTGTATATGAGTACGTTTGACTAATCAGTCATTGTTGACTTTTGAGGATCGCTATACCAGTTGTTTGGATACACAATTTTTTGGAGGCCGTCCTTCCTAAAAGAGAACCTTTCCTCTAAGCTCCTAACAGATCATTCAGAAGCTCAAATTTCAGAGTTTCTCTGTTTCTGTTTGATTTCTGTTAACCTTTCTTACTGTGAAGTCAAAATTATGTTTCACAATTAGCTTGCTTTGTTTGCTTGGGTGGAATTTGTGGATAGTTTTCCGACGAACTTTTGGTAGTCATTTGTTAGCTCAAATCTTGTTGATATTCATTCTAAAAATGATTTTTGAAAAGGTTAATATACCTTTCAAACCTGTAATGTTTTTTATAAAAGCGGAGGAAAAACACTGGCTGAATAGAGAATATCGCGCGGCGCTTGCACGTTGCTGTGTGCGCCGTATCAGCTGCCGTCCATCTCGGAAGGGTTAATCAACTGATAGTAAAAAGAAAAACGTTAACTCACATACTATAGAAGCGAATACGTTATACTTCATAGGTCCTACCGTAACCTACTCGAAGCTACCATATTACTATGATGTGCTCGTACATAGGACACATTCGACATCTGTGCTGTTAAATTCCTGAGACGAAAAAATTAGGTGGTTGAAAAAAACAATTGTAATCAACGCTTTGTCAAAATGCACCGTTTGATATTGGAATGTGGTGCTGATTGAGAATGATTACATTATATACCATCTCAGTGCGCGACTTTCGCTTCATGTTTTGTTGCTAATGACACATTACTTGCTGTTTATCTTCACTTTATTCGAGACGATGGAGCGAAAGTTGATTAGTGCAAAAGCAATTGCGTTCAAAGCGCGAGTTGAAAATGGGTTGTAAAGTAGCAGAGAGAACTCACACCAGAAACGCATTTGGTCTACGGACTGTAAGCAAGCGTATAGTACAGCGACGGTCCAAGAAGTATTGTAGAGGAGGCGCGTGCCATGAAGATGAGGAATGTACATCAACATTCACTTTCGCAGCAATCTAATAAGTAACGTTTAAGTTGTCGATCTGCGATATGGTGTAAGTGAAGTTTGACTACTTCGATGCATGCTGTGGTGAGCTTGAAAATCCTAATAAATCTGTGAGAAACTTTGCCAATTCTTGCAATAGTCAAGAACGCTTTACATCACAACCGTCTCGAGTGCTTCTCATAGCACTGTTGAATGGGATTAACTACTTTGTGCGAATCCCAGCACTTCTCGCTTTTGTTCCCTTTTTCTTCACGAAAGGCGTAGAATATGATCAAGCTCATCTTCTTGTAATCTCGAAGACAGCCAAGATAGGGCATTCCATGGGGCACTCCTTATTAATTTCCGGAGAGTGTTGGGTAGTGGGAATTAAACCCGGGGAGCGCCCCGCCGCGCCAAGCTTCATAACCATTCGGCCACACCCTCATTTTCATCCCTGCCCCTCCCTCCCATTCCGTGGAATTGGTAACATTAATAATTTACTTTGGCAGTATAATAGTAATGGTAATATGCGATAATATCAGTGACTCGTTGTAGAAATAATCGGCAGATAAATTTCAATCAAACTTCTTTGGCAATGTTATGATGTCAATTAATTGCCCAATAATCTTGAGTAACACACAGTGTTTTGCATATCACTGAGCACCATTGAATGGGTAACAATAATAATTAATAAAGACAGCAATTAATGTGGACAAGTAAGAATAGCGGTGCTAATCACTTCTATAGGATATTTCGAACTGAATTTCGATCCCTTCAACGCCAATACTACAGCTTTTCAGCAGAGACTACCGCAAGCATTTCGATAAGATGCTTCACATTGCAAATGTGAAGAGATTTCTTGGAATCGAGAGCAGAACGGCAGTTACTGTCCATCCATTGACTGTTCTATATCGGAAAGTGTCGATGCAAGGAACAAGAAAATTTACCAGATGAGATTAGTAGAAAAAATTTCAGATACGTATTTGCCGATTTTCCACACCTTAGAAGAATGCATAAACGTTACGTAAATGCAATTTTGCAGATTCCATATGTGCATAAAGTAGTACAATAAAGGATGTCCTCATGACCTCCCCACTACACCGTATTGTTTCCAATATGTAAATTGCTCTATGCTTCGAAGCGTGGTTCTTGACCTCTGGCCCACGTTTTTACCCATATTGTTTACCACAGAAATCGTTTTCTCAAATCTTTTGTTTTCACTCTCATGCATGTCAGACACGGACTGTACTGAGACTAATCCGCAAATAGATTCAGTACGTTACATGCGTTATATGCGTTACACTTGCAGAGCCGTTTCCGGAGTGTGGAGCGGAATCGATGATTATGCAATAATGAAGAAGAAACAAAAATAAATTTCACATATCTAATAAATTCATGCGAGAAGCTATCGGAACTGTAAAATGGACAATTTTTTCTGCCGTGCTTATAAATTGAACTCAATTCTTTCCATTTTGACTGCCACTTGCAGTGGTATGATGTTATAGTATACCCAATATGTGGAGTACTGTGCAAAAGCATTTGCGTCAGCCGGGATTCGAACCCAGATCTCAATCTTTCCGGGAGTGTATGCTAACCGCTGCACTACCGACGCTCGTTTTGCACAGCACTCTTATTTACGCCATAACGCGTTGTCTGCCAACAACCAACCGTCGACGGTCTGGCGGGGCAGCAGCTATCGGCATTGAACCCACTTGTGTTGACAGACATTGGATATCGATAATCAGTCTAAATTATTTCTATTTTGACTGCCACTTGCAGTGGTATGATGTTATAGTATACCCAATATACAGGGGATAAAACATCAATTCCTTAATCTTCATTCACAATCAACAACACTCTTCAAAAAGTAACGACGGGTACAAAAAACAACGTGGAAAACCCTTGATCTTTCAACCAAGTCACTGATTAAATCTTCCTTCGCCATGTGCTATGCCACTTACATGCGAAAGATGGGCATACGGGCCAAAAAGAAACACTCTTATTTGTTTATAAACAATCTTGTCGACCGATTAGGAAATGATATAAAAGGGCGTGTGGTATTGAAGGTCTTCATAGCGAAGGAATATTTCTTCTAATTGACTATGCTGTGAAATCTTTAGAAATGCCTAGCGAATTCAACAGCTCCAATACTCAGTTGGACCGTAAATTTAAGTATCGAGCTTCAAAGTTTTCTGCAAGGACCGCTCTCTGAAACGGATATGTCGACATCAAGTGGCATGGTATTCGGATAGTATCCCACAGCAGACAGTTTTTTGAAAAGGAAGAAACTTGTTTCTAGAAAAAAAATATACTTATAGCCTTTACAGACAGCTCAGACGGCCTCTCATCAGCTACAATCAGCGGGAAGAAACAAGTTAGATCTTACACTGATTAGCTATAGCAAAAGACAATTAAAAGAAAACTGAGAGGTGTAGCTAAGACCAAAAACAGCTTCATGGAGAAGAGCGGTCTGTGCTGGAAACTATTTCATCACCAAGAAGCGCGCGTGTTTATCCGTCCTTTATTACGAAGTTCTTATTTATGCGATTTTAAAGCAACTCAAACGTGATCACACTCTCCACTGAACTTCCACTACACTTATCTGACAACTATCGAATAGACCTTTGATAGTCAAGGAAAATACTCTAAACAGGATCTATAAAATCATATCAAATTACGTGAAAACTCTGTCACTCATTAAACCTTGATTGAGCTGAATGAAATCGAAATGATTAATGAATTTAGCGGAATGGGAAGAAACTTTATACTGTGTTAATCAAACCAGGTGTTTCTTGTTCCACCCCTTTCAGGGGTGCATGGCTCAGTTGTCCGCTTCATCAGTGAAACAGCTTATAGTACTGGATGATTTGCTCTAATGGCCCCTTCTGAGAGGATTCTTTAGCAGACTTCTTTATATGTTCTATTGTTTCGGAACCGTGGAAGTGGTTCAGTTGGTGTGAAAGTTGTAACATAACCTACGAAGCATTCTATCCTCATTAAGACATTGAAACAAATGCTTATCACCTGTGATTTCCCATGAAATTAAAACATATCAGTACTACAGAGCTCTCTTGTCATTATAACAGATAGTGTTAGGTTCTTCCACTACTTCTTTTCGCTTTTAGATAAATTTTGTTCATTCAATTGTTACTTATCTAAAGAAATAAATTATTTATCAATATATTCATCATGATTATCAATGATATGCAACCATTTGCTGACAGAGATTGGATGGCTACCTCCGAAGAACAATGAGGCTGATGATAAAAGGATAACTGGGTTTACCTCTGAACTTGTTGTAGCCTGTAGGTTTTCTGCCCCGCAAGTGCTGTTTGAAGACTGAGAAAGGGTGATACCCGACTGAGCAATATTACGACTGTACTATGGATGTGGTGCTGTGGTCTAGTTCACTTCTTACAAAACCTGGCGAGCCATTTTTGCTATAGGAGATTGAGCTGAATCTTGGAAAAGGACGACTTTGATTTGTTCTAGATATTCATCGCACTGCTGCGGCCAACTTTCGTAGCTGCTCTTCTACGACGGTCGCGGTGTTTGCTTTTTTTGACAGCTTCCAACAGCTTGCTCTGTCAACCCAGAGGACTGGGCAGCATAATATTCCAAGAAAGGAATTTTGCTCTTCCCGAGCTTTCGAGTTTTACGGCCAATCAGGTGAAGTGCTCATTTATACATTACTTTGTGGTAGCTCACCTTATCTAGATGGCTTAATGTCGGCCAAATACAGGTGTGCTAGAGCATTATTCAATATATTACAGTCTTCTCGCAATAACCCGATAAATCGGGAAAAATTGAATGAAACAGTTGTGCGAAATAATTATAGGACAGCTCAATATCTCGCTCTCTGAATCGCTTTCTTAAGAGACAACCACTAGAGAGATCGACGCATTAGTCTTCTATGCATGCCAGTCATGGTTTTATGACACAGTTGCAAAGTAGAAACGGATCGGGATCAAATTCAAATAATCGTAGCATATTCCCCATTTTTCTAGAAAAGATGAGGTGATTGCGCAGAAGAAAGACCTTACAACCAAATTGCAGAAATTATTGATTAGTGAGAAATCAAATGCCGAAAGGAATAATATGAATACTCATGAGCTCCTTTGACAGCAACATATCACAATGCTCCTCGCATCTCTGTCTTATCCCATAATCATTCTGGAGCGTCATACCGTTCGCTTCAAATGTTTTCTTAAGACCACACTCAAACTTCAATATGCGTGATAATCATTTCTGAGCCATGAATGTAATCTGTTATGGACACTTATACAGTTCAATACACGTGTTTCGGTCTTGGCAGCTTGTTAGTTGCACCGTGCCCTTCGTTCTTAGCTAGTCCCTCTTGGGAGGAACCTAACTCCATGACATAGAGAAGACGCAGATGTACTATTTACAAGTGCTATCAAATGAAAGAAATCACTAAGTGGAAGTGTTACTCACGCGACTGCACCTGGCCGGTACTCATGAATTATTAGAATGTTATTTCCGAGTGTTTATTTCAAGACCACGCTCAAAGTTTGAGATGCCTGGTAATTATTTCTTAGCCATGCATGCGGTCTGTTATGAGCACGTCTAAAACGCATTACACGTGCTTCGGCCTTGCACAGCCTCGTCAGTTGCAGGAAACGTTAGATATTTCATAAATAGCAATTGAGAAGAATCAAGTGTACAACACTACCCATTTGGTGGTTTTTATTATTTTATGGCTCATGTAAATAGTACGCCTGCGCCTCCTTTATGTGGAGGTTGAAATTCCCTTGAGAGGGATTGGCAAAGACGAAAGGCACTGTGCAACTGACTAAGCTGCCGGCCAAAACACGTGTATCGCACTGTATAAGTGCCCAAAACAGACCACATGCATGGCTCAAAATAACTGCTGACATCCTGGAGTGCTGATGATCGAAAACGACTCTCAACTTGAAGAAAATCTATTACTAGAGCGAAATAATAGGAAAAAACGGACAAAAAAAAATGAGGAACGAAAAGAGACCAGAAGTGTATAATGAAGTTATATAGATATATACGGAGAGCCGAGCGAATTCTTCGCCCAACTCAAGACATGTTTCCGCCTTACCAGTGTTTTCAGAAGCTTCATCGTTACTGACCTACCTATATTCAAAACTCAGCCAACTTCTTCTTTTAGCCATACATTCAGCCAACTTCTTCTTTCAGCCATATATAAGTCCCCCACCTTCAAGTCGACGACCATTGCAAAATGATTAACGAGGATCTCAAGATTACAAAAACTCGTTTTCATAAGAAGATAAATACTACGTAGACGAGATGTGATGATGACGAACACTATTTATTTCGAACTATCTTTGAGTTTGCACGAGCTGGAAAGAAACAATGGATATTAAGTTCGTATCATTCGCTACTGTGAAGAAGAGGAATGTACCAAAATGCCAGTCATAGTGAGCATTCCATATCTACCTTAAGATTAAAAGAATATTTTGGTCCCTCACGCAAAATCCAATAATGAATGAGTAAGCCAACAATCAGAACGTAGGGGGCACGCGGAGTTGAACCACGGACCTCTCGATCTGCAGTCGAATGCTCTGCCACTGAGCTATACCCCCGTAGTTACACGATCGAAGCGATTAGTATCTGTTCCATAGGGGCCACACCCTGATGAACTTCGAACATTAGTAAGAGTGAGCATATGCAAAGACTGATCAATACAACATTCGAATATTAGAGAACAGGCTGTTGCACTATGCACTCTCGATCCGTAGATTAATGATAATATCATTAAGTCGAGGGAATGATTAGTAAAACATCAATGTATCTTTCAAATACTATATTGGTCGAATTTCGTGTATACTTTCTCCTAATAATGCTCGAAAGCCATCGCTAAGTAGTCAGGACCTTGACTTGAGCTTCTTAGCAAGCTCATTGGTAATCACTGTAGTAAAGATTAGATTTGTAGGGCACTATAATGTCACATCTAATGTCACAAAACTGGGACCGTCGTTTAAGGAGAAAGCAAATAACGACTGGATGCTAGACGTCTGAAATCCGCGCAGTGAAAAAATTGTGCAGATGGCCGCCCACGGGTGCTTGCTCTTAGCATCTATTAGTTTCAAACTTCTTTGACAGAGAAATGGAACAAAGGTTTTAGTGGTGCAATTGGTAACAAATGAGCTTCTAAAGAGGATAAGCACGGACTTAAAGGTCAATTGAAGCGCCGAGTTTAGCTTTTATCCCTTTCTACACTTTTGTGGTTAACTATCAGCACAATTCTAGAATTATAGTAATTATGTTTCACACGCGCATATTTCTCGCGAAAGAGAGCACTTTTCTAGACTGTTAATATCCATTCGTACCATAGTTTCAATGATTCCAATGCTGTGTCTATTTTTTGAAGGACCGTTTTTTACAGTACAGCAAGGTAAATGAGATTGTACTTGCATGAGCGAGTAAGTGGTCTTTGATCAATTCACGGGCCGCTGAGAGAGACGGCAGTGGGCTGGCGCGGTGACTAATCGATTTCTCAATTGAAAGTGCGATGTGTGTTATTTAATTAGGAATTGCTTCTCCACTTCGGGAATTTCGGATTGAACATCTGACTCTGATATTACAACATTTTCACTACAC